TTTATACAGAAAGACTTTTATTTTTAACATGCCAGATTATTGTACTTATCTGCTCTTAGAAAATATGCACTGTATAAACATATCTTTTATCTTGAACTTCAGTATTTCTGTGCTTCCATGAAGAGTAAAAACATCTGGTTAAATTACTATGTGCAAGTACAATCTGCAGGCAAAACCCTGTATGAATTGCATATAAAATAAATGCTGGCTTCAGTTCTTTTCGCTTTCCCAAATGTTCAGTGTGACCAGTCTGTTGAAATCGCACCCCCGATACATGTCAGCACAACGATAACTCATGTACTGAAATGCTGCTTTTCTGAATAAAATCAAGTTCTGTTCTTGTTCTACAGTTCCTAATGCTTTAAAGTTTAATTCTGTTATGTGTGTTCCCCCCAACAAAGCCCCCCCAAACTGGATTGGTACAAAGTGTTGCACACCAGCGGTGATGGCTCCAAGGGACTGGCTGGACGGAGTTGTCATGTGTCTGCCTGTCTACACTTGCTGTGCAGAACATCCTCTCACCTGTACAGCAGGCACAGACAGGCAGTCGCATGACAACCCAGCCTGAGGGAACAGCCGCCAGTGGGAAACGGCTCTGACACCCCAGAGCACCTGCACCACCAGCTCCAGCCACGAGTCACTGGATCCCAGACGGCCGGTCAGTACCAAGCTGCGTGCTGCAACCCACCCAGAGTCAAACACTGCCTATAAACTACAATAAAACCCACTGCTGAAATTTTTACTGTGCTTCCTATAGTACTCTTTTCCTAGTTGTTCTCATTAACTCACTAACAGTAAGTTTTATTTATAAGCAGCTCTGCGGCACCTACGTATGTTTTGTCCTTCCATTTAATTCCTAGGCATAACTTGAGCAACTTGGATTATTAGATTATTGCTGCATCAAACTCACTGACATTCCTGCTTGCCACAGAAGCCAAGAGCAGTCTGTTGTGGGGCAAGTTAATTCTGTAAACACACACAGTGTCAGACCTTAGAGTAACTTCTCCCCTTGCCACTCTCTCACCTCCTCACTTACTTTCATATCTTGCTCCCAAATCTCACATAACAATTTTTTTTTTACAATTGGGAATAAACTGTGAAACTATAATACTAACTACGTCTATGACCAGATGTTCACAATACTATCATTTCCTATTGAAACAGAATGGAAATATTTTCTTTGAAAATAAGACCAAAGGGGATTTTCCCAATACATGTAAATTTCACATTTTTAGAAATTCTAATCCTAGAGTGCAGCTTGGCATCCTTTGCACACCAATAATGCCAGCAAAATCTCTAGATGCTTTAGAAAGAATAATAAAATCATAGTCTGTGACCATGCCCCGTAAAAATGCTACACGACTTTACAAATGGCAGCCATTTGTTTACATTGAGAGCTTTTGGATTCACAAGCATTCCACATTCCCAAAGTCCATTTTATCCTGACACAGAAGTGGCTAATTCACAAACTTTGTAGTTGCAGGTTGACTCTCAATGAACCTCCATTAATGCTACTTAACGAGACAGTAACAATTGAAAGCTAAAATGCTCAGATTTAATAATGTGTGTGTAGCTGTGCCTTACAACGCTACAGCTGGAATTACATGGAATACTCTAGGAAATAAAGCTGTATTTGTAGGGTCACTGAACGTGCTAATCTTGCACTTATTTACAGCAGCCTCAAAGAGGTGCACAGCATTTTCCTTGTTTCATTTTTAAGTGGAAAAGCACAAAGTCATGGTCCTGGTCACACGGCAAAGTTATGAACACAAACAACTGTATGCAGGATCAGAAACTAACCCAGATTAGAACTCACAGAACTAACACTGTAACTGCTTTAAGCACACTGTTCCAACATCAACTGGATATTTCCATAATAACAAGCCTAATAAGCATTCTTAGGCACTGAGTCCCCCTCACCAGGAGTAAAATCCTGTTGTATGTTTGACAGCAATGAAACCATGTCAAGAAACCAATTCTTTCTTTTGTAACACTGATATCCATACAGCAAAATCTGAAGTCTTTTGCCAAAGCAACTTGCTTCAAAATGCATTCCACTGTGGATTCATCACTTATAAAAGCTGCACCTCACAAATAAAGGAAGCAATTTACATCCTGCTCATGGCACTAGCAAGCAACCACTAGCACTCAGAGTGATTTTGATGTCAGAGTAAATTCCAGACTAGAAAATGGTCTCAGCTTACACTAGAGGGGGTACACAGCCCTGGAGGCCCCAGCAGGCACTGGAGTTTTGGAAAGTACATTGTCAGAGCTCTCTGGTACAAAGCTGCTACCACATTCCTTGCTCAGGGGTACAGCACAGGGGGAACAAATCCATCGCTGTGGCAAAAGGACAAAGGTGAGACCTGACTCTGCATCGTCCCCAGCTGCGATGGAGGGATCGGTGCTGCTGTGAGGGGACTGCAGCAGTGACCAGCCCGAGAGGGAGGACGGGGGCTCCGAACTCCCCACGACCCCGAAGGGCAGAGCCAGAGACACAAACACAGTTATCACTTCTCACATCCCCGAGACTGTGAATCTCACGGGGGGGGAAACACACCCGCACAAAGCCGGTTCAGTCAGCAGCTGAGATCAGGATGTGACAACTACCAAATCACGCTGAGAATGAGGAGAACGTTTTAAGGAGGCAAAACGCAATTATAAAATTGGAATTCAGCCAGGAGATCATATATTTACTTCTTTATTTTCAAAGCCCATAGTGTCTGTTTCTGAAACAAGTCACTTGTCGTTTGACTAACAGCCAAGCTGTGGCTTTGACCTTCTTCAAAAAGTAGCTAGAACAGACCTTACTAATTTTTTTCAGTCCTACTAAGAAAGGTTCAGTACAAAAAAAAAATTAAAAATCATAACTTTGTATACTCTTTACCAGGAAAACATAATCAAATTATACAGCAAATCTGTACTGAAGAAGGAACTTTTTCCACCAGCAAAACAGAATAGTACTATTCTATTATCTTCTCTTGCCACTCTATGACATTCCTCAGTGAGCTCCCATATTGGCCTGAATGAACCACTGGCATTTTCATGACTCTCAAAACATAACTGTTTGGCAATTAAGAGACATTACTTTAAAATATGTATTTAGAAATCACGCAGTGGCTGTTTCTTTCCATGTACTATTCTGAGTTTCCCAGGTGACTCCCTCCAGCAGACTACCAAAACTAATTATTTATTTTTTAAAGATACATAGCACAAGACATACCATTAGCATTTTTAGGAATTTTTATATTCCACGTTAAACAAACACTAGACTCAAAAAAGTCTAAAAAAGCTACATTAAAAGTTGCCATAGCACATCTTGGATGCATCTCCAACTGCTTGAGACAGACACAGCAAGGGGTGTTAATTCCCCCCCATCACTTGTTTTAGTTCCAGTTACCTGTACTGAACCTAAGAAAGCAAGTTCTAGTAACCTTAAGGTAGATCACAAAAACCAGCAGCTTCAAATTTTCAAATTCATGAAGTGACTTTTGCATGTCTTTCAAAGTGTATTTCAGCAATTCAAGAATAAAACTTCCCCTCTTAACATTTGTCCCTTGGCTCCTCCCCTCTGCCTGGCACTCACTTGTTTTCCTGTTACAATAAATACATTCGAATCCCTTTAAAACTTAAATAAAAGGGCAAGGGGCAAAATCTTCAAAACTAACCTAATTTGTCCCTCAGTCTTAAGGTCTCTCCCAAAATAGCTACTGACCCAAGGGAAAAAAAAACAAAAACAAACAAACCCTACTGACCAGCACAGTTTCCACCATCAGCAGCATTACTGAGGGAACTCCCTATGGCAAGTACCACATTCTGGATTTGCAGGACTAAGGAAAGCTCTGACTCGACGCACATGCACTGCAGGACCTCTCCCCACTGCTTCCAGAAAATCTACTGCAGTAAAACACTACATTAGTTTAAAGAGAATATGAATTGTCTGCAGTCCCCATCAACCAGCTCCCTGTTTTGCTGGGATCAGCCAGTGTTGTGATTATTATTTAGGTTAAGATGGAAAGATTGAGTGATGTTTTACAGCTCATTTAAAACTTTCTCTTTACCTGTGCCTCTTCCATCCAATGAACTGGTTCACCCTAAAAATCACTAAATTTTTGCTGGAAATACTTAACTTTAAAAAATTCAGAAAATAATAGAATTTCTTTTTAAATGTAACCCAGTTTTTCTACAAACACCAACACAAACCTTAAAATAACCCACAAAGGCCTTACCATAAATCTGACAATGCACATAATAATCCTATTTTAACCTTCAAAATACTGCTGGAGTTTTGGATAGAGCACATCATTACAAACATTGTTGAAAAAACTAATGAAACAGAACTAACAAGCTTCCTACTGGTATATTCAGTACAGTGAGCAACCTGGATGTCCTTTTCACCAGAGAAATGCTTTTTCCAGTTCCCATAGTACTCACCTCAGATTTACTGATCATCCACAAAAGCACACTTTTTGTCAAATCTGAAAATCCATACCAACAGCTACAGAACTCTGCAGACAGGCTTTTCACCATCTCAGAATACGAGGACGAAGAATTGTTATCATTAAACCAACTGCTGTAGTTACTTTTAAAAGTAACTTTACCCAGATGATTTATGATCAACTTACAGTAGATGTATAAGAGCAGCCCAAACAGGCATAGGAAAATATCCACAACATTTCAGAACAGCCTGGTTTTTTTCCCTTTTTTTCTTTTTTAGAGCAATGTGTGGAAATCACAGGAAGAGAGGAAAAAAGGAAAACAACAAACAAACAAAAACATCCCCCACAACACCCTGTACTTGTTATCAGCATTTCAACAGAAGTCTTAGACACTCAGCATTCTTCATGAATCAAAATAGAAATTCAAAGAACACAGCTAAAACCTTAAAACAATCTTTCAGTTCAAGGCTGTACAAGCTGATTTAATATTTCAAGCTGGTATCAGAAGACTGAATTAGTACTTTTCTTTTCCCCAGTAGTATAAAGTTCTTCATTCCTTACCTCATCGTCTTTATACCAGGACAAGCTTTCCGCGGTTAGAACGAACCAGTATTCCTTGGATCCTCCCTTCATGATGCCAATGTTGTTGATGGTCAGCCAGCCTTTCCGAATGACCTATGCAAAGGTGCAGTCAGGCACAAGTTTAGATCATTACTCACTTGACATAACTCTGTTGCTGCATTCATTCTTTTAAATGAAGACTTGCTAAATAAAACATAAACAGGTGTATTTTTTCAGTCTCTGGCAAATTCGAGGGTTTTTACACGTTCCTATCATTCAAAAAGAAAGTAATAAAATGAATATGTTTTCAGTCAAAAGGCTAGAGAAAGGGAGAAGCCTAAGTATCAGAATGTTGTACTTAGAGCAAGTATGAGCGTGTTAAGGATCATGTAAACTTGAAGGTATTTATTTGCTGTACAACAACACATTGTAAAAGTCCATACAACTTGATATCTGACTATCCTGTTCTAGTCTAATTGCTAAGGTCATTTGTAAAGTTGGATACAGGGAAAAGCGCCCAGATAATGGCAAAGTGAGTGGCTTCTGCCACACATTGGGAATTTTCAAAATGGGTTGTATCGAGTGACAAAGTGGAGAGTTCTTCTACAGTTAATTTAAAATTAAGGTAGGAAGGGGTAAGGAGAGGCACGTGAGAGGTATTTTCTTCTCCTAAGGTAGAAGAGAAAAAAAAAAAAAAGAGGAAGAAAAAGCCTAAGGCAGCAATAAAAATCGGGGGAGAAAATGGGTAAAGCAGAACTTTATAAAATACATACAAGCCAAAGATGAAATAACAGATGGGAACAACGTACCTATAAATACTAAGGGCAGGAGGCTAAATCACAGACAGAGAAAAAGGGACAAAAGAAAACTTAAGAGGAATGAGAAGTCCAGAGGTGAAGAAAAGAGAATAATCATGAAAACTCATTAACAGATCAGATAGAAACTTTCCATTTTATTGGAACATTTGTTTTCCAATGCAAATATGAGAAAGTAAACATTCCTTCCTATAATACTCTGAACAAGACAACAGAACTCCCCTGTCACACAGATGCAGGGGACCTCAGCCATTCTGTTTCTCTGCACAGCAACACCCTTCACTTGCCTATGAAGTACTGAGATAGAAAAAAGTGCCCAGAGAAGCCCTTCAGAATGCCCTCAACAAGTCCCACAGGCACCAACTTGTCTGGTCAAAAATTACTTTCCTGTTGTATTTAAAGAAATATTCGAGACTGACATTCCTGTCCCAGGGCTTTACAAGACCAGTATCTCCACTATCAACAACTCACCAGAGAAGAACATGGCTCATCACCCTCTATTCCTTGTCATCTATGAAAGTTTCAGAATCAGAATTCACTCCCACTCACCATGTATGTTCATGTAAGCTCCCTGAAAAAAACAGCTTTGGTTTTGCACAGAGCAAGGGACTAAGTTAAATCTGATAACTAAACCAAATAAGAGATCAGAAGTTCCTGAAAAGCAGGAACTTGTATTGGAAATGCACATAATCCAAGAGTATCAATTTAATTTCAAATAGGATGATCGTGTTTTCCCACTTACTACCGATCAGGCAAGCAGTGTAAGAAAAGTCCTGAAGATCCAAAAACAATGGGTTTTCTGCCTGTAAGAAAATACCTAAGAAAGCACTGATTTGGTTCTGAAGCCTCAGTAAGCAATAAGAGAACTGGACATGACTCCTGTAAAGAGACTCAAGAGTACAGCACAAGCAGATTGGATGGAACAGCCTGTTCTGCAAAGGTTTCTACAAAAGTTGGTTGGTATTTTTAATATTCATGTTCATTGGGGAAAAAAAAACCCCACTACGTGGAGAGGGGCATTAGTGAGTAGAAAAAGACGGAATGCTTGTCTGAGTGCAAGTTAAGGGAAACATACTGATAAGAACTTGATTACCCATCAAATCCTCATTTTATTTTACGATGTTTATTGAAGTAAACTTTTAACAGGAAACAGCAACATGTATATATAGCCAGTGTACTGGCCTTCAGGCAGTTGCCACAGAACAAGTTGTGGAACCAAACTAATTCTGGGTTTTTTTCTGCACTGAACCACACAAATGCAAAGGGAACAGATTTGCGGGAAAAGGAAGGAAATTAAGGCTTCCCATACACTTGAACTTAGCTCTGCAGTAAGGTGAGCTGTATTTGTACAGCAGACTAAATACTTCACAGCACATGTGCAAAGGTGGGTATTCCCAGACTAGAAAGAAACCAAAATCAGAGGGTAAGAGAGAGGAAGCTGTTGAACCACATTGTCTGCAACTGGAAATGCAGTGTTGCTCCGTGTAAAGCTCATATCCACACACTGGAAGCACAGACAGCTGGGCCAGCACACCACTGAAAACTAGTTTGGAGACACATCTCAGAGAGGGTAAAAGATTTGAAGAGAGATGTCAGTGAGGATAAAGAGGTGGTTTCTAGAAGCAAACCAGTAAGACACACCTGAGTAGCTGGTTCAGAAACCTTATCCATGATGAGCACTTCAAAGGAAAGGGAAGTAACATTTCTCTGCTTATTCCATCCAGGCCTTTCCATCACCGTGACCATAGCGTCTGTAATGTTAATAAGACCCTAAACATGTTAATAAGAGTCAAATTTTCTCCATTTGACAAGAACACATTTGTGGTAGAGGTCTCAGAACGGACCAAGCCAAGGTTTTTAAATCTGAACTATGCAACCCATTTAAGAAGTATAATGAAATTTTTAATACTTCTAATGTAGGAACTACATTAGGTTGCACAGCTCCAGAAGACTGTCACGCTTCAGTCCAACACATCTCCCCATAGATGCAGAACCATCACTCTGTGTGGACAGAAACAAGCTGACTTGCTAATACAAACATTGGTCACTGTCTCGTAAAGGAAGGAATTTGCCAGTTGTTTCCTCAAAAATCCTGTGTGCTGAGGATTAGATCCAGCTGTCATTCCCACACAACACTGCACGAAGAGCAGGACACCAACCTACAGCAATATCCTGGGTATGTGTTTTTCATATGTGCAAATTTCTCGACCTGTTCATCTATACTCCTCTGGGAAAACACAGTATCCTGTGTTCTCTAAAATATCCTGGGCACTATGACAGCTAACAACTACCTAAAACACTAAGAACCTGTTCCAGGGGACACCAAGAGGGAGAAGATGAGCTTAGTATGCTAATCCTCATGTTCTTTTCACAGAATTCTTCCTGTTTCCCAGGTATATTCTGTTAACTACAAAGAGCTACACTTACAAAATACTCAGCACCAGTGTCAGAGATAAAGGGGAGGGCGATGTTGGATCAAGGAGTAAATTCAAGACAAAGTGAGATTGACCAACACAGTTTTACTTTCCAGAGAAGCTGAATCAAACCTTAGATTCCAGCCAATTCCTAAAAAAAGTAAGCTATATTTTAGAAATAAGTGTTCTTCCATGGGCAATAAGCAGCTATGCTTTTCAAAGATACTTCTGAATTTTAAAAAACCTCTAGGGTATTGTTTTGGGGTTTTTTAAAACTGTAGTGTTAGGAATGTTTTATAGTACTTCAGCTTAAAAAATGAAAGCAGTGTGTTTCATTATTTTCACAAGTTCATTTGCTGGTTGGTTTGTATCTAAGAGAACCATTTCAATATTTTCTATCGTATTTCTAAATGTCACTCTGTGCAAACCGGATATTAGTGACATGAGTTCAGGAAGATGAAAAATATGGGCATTGCCAGAAGCTCATGAAGACAATATTCTGACCGGTAGTTGGACTCCATGCACAGGATGAACAAGAGATGACAGTTCCTTCCTTCAGGATCCTGATACCTAATCTGAGTGTCTGAAAAATGAAACTTAGAGGCTACGAATTTATATGAACAAGCCAGAAGGAAATCATTTTCTCACAGTTCAGCTGCACAAAACCCAAATCATATTGGTTGTTTTTATTCTCCAGGACTTCACAGATAAACAGGAAAGCAGGATTTGACACAATAAGCACATTTCATGAATTGCTGCATGACTTCTTCGTTGCATTGAATCAAATGAGGTATTTGTAAAAGAAATACATTTAAAGAAATGGAACACTTTCTGATTCTCTAAAGAAGTCTTTGAGGAATGATTTCAAGATAAGTGAGATAAGTGAAATTGTCTGGCCAGACAGAAATACAACTGTGAAAATCATGAGACTGGCCTCTCCCACAACATTCCAGCAGCAGCACTTGTTAATATAACTCTATTAAAGTTGTGTTGCTTAACTCCATTGAAATAATTCTGAACACAGAACACAACTCTCAGTACTACTCTATCTTCCAATCACTGTCATAACAACACGTGTTAGCAAATAGTAAGTACATTGAAAGAATAAAAATTGGGAAAACTACTCTGTGAAGCACCCTTATAAGCTATTGGTTCTTTGTGTTCAATTATGAAGATTATCTCACTTTATATACTAGAGGGGAAACCTACTACAGTATTTCACTGTAATTTGCCAAATGTCAGAGCATAGACTCAGATCTGTTCTGATACTGAACACAACCAAGATCTTGTGACATTGCTTCCCTACGAAACACTGCACAATATATTGCAAAACTTAAAAATAATGACAGTGGCTAAAGTCCTAAAAAGAGGTCTGCTTTAAAGAAAAATTCAGTCTTTAGTGAAACAAAGCACTCAGTGGTGAAAAATTTAAATGTGCTTCCAAATACAGTTAAACAAAGATTGAGATGAATAAGTCAAACATGAAGGAATCTTAACCCAAAAAATAAAGTCACTTAGAATAGCAATACTTCTCTAGTCTTGATAAATGAAAATTCAAAAGCAGCATGATTCACGATGCTAAATTTTGAAACATTCTTGAATGTGTTAGCCTATGGGCACCACTTCTTTTACAGAAATACTGGCATTTCTTGAGACAAAAGCCTTGTCATGATTTTTCTTGACCACGGCACAGGGTTCCATTTCCATCTGGTTGCTTAAAAAAATTCCATAAACATTTTTTTCCTGGATCATGCAAGATAACAGGATTTAAGTATATCTGAAGAGAAGAAGCGGCAAAGTATGCTACAAAGCAGGATTAAAAGAAAAAAAAAAACAAAAAAGGGGTTACTAGGGGAAAAGTTACTTATTAGCACTATAGTTCAGGCCAGCCAATGGGGTCTGAATGCTACCTGTGTCCAGACAAGTGAACCAGGTTGCTGGTGTAACTGCAGAAGAGGCAGGTCAAACAAAGGCTTCAGACCCAAATCTCCAAATCACTTGGACAGTGACTTGAAACAGTTCACATTAAGCCTCTTCTCCAATTACAGGGGCTACTTCAAGCACAGCAGCAGATTTTGCCACTGAAGTAAATCTCAAAACAGAATTTCATATAAATTACAAATAAATTACATATAATGCTCTATAATTTGAGTGTCTTGCATTCTCACACACAGAGTATCAATTCAGCACATGGAGCAATGACACCTTCATCTTCAAAACTTCATCATGAAGGGGAGATTTAAACATTAAATTTTAGTCACCAAAACAAATCTCAGCACGCAACATACACAGTTAAGAGTGGGTCAGCTTTCAGGAGCTGGACCTTGCTAGTGTGCTGTGTAAAACCAAGCATTACACTGACTACTTCAAGCAAATTAGAAGACAGACTAACCTGTGGCTTAAAAAGAAACTTTGTGGAGTCAGGTCAAAGCCTCAGGCGGTAGCAAAGAAAAAACAAACAAAAAAAGGCCAAAGATTAAGTGTGAGAGGATAAATTAGTAGTAGAGAAAAGAGGAGCAAAAACATGTTAAGAGGAATTGGCATTATCGTCCAAAAATGAGGTATTGCTGTCCTCATCTTATATCCAAGACACACAGAAATAGTTAATAGTTATCTGCATCATTCCAGTTCAAAGCAGCTACTAGAAAGAAAAGCAAGATTGCAAATGAGCATCCCACTATTTTGGGAAAACGTAGTGATCTTAATCTCCCAAGGGATTCAATTCAACTGCTGTTAGAATCAGTGCTGCCTAGTCCTTTTTCCATAACTGAACATGTTTAGTTTAAAATTTTAACTAATATAATTTGTTGATGTGGCAACAAAACTGGAAAAGTGTATGTTTTCATCACAGATATTGCCAAAGACTGCACACAATACAGAGATTTATTTCTTGCACCTATCACTGAACCAGGAGTAACTTGTTATAAAATTAACTGCAGTTTAGACAATTAATTCTAATTAGTAATATTAAAGACATTCAAGTATTTATTTACTCATGAGGTGGAAGGGTTAGAAAAGAATTTGTCCATGATATATTGATCCTCCTGGTGCTCTGAAAAGAATGCTAAAACAGCTTTAAATATTTCTTCCATAGAACTCACTTTTTCTATCAGAAGTAATTCCTTGTCATAAACAAAACACAAGAACAGTACCTGTACCCATAAACAGCATGTTCATTTACACAGGAGCTAATGTTTCCTTCTGGTTACCAGAAACTTATTTGCCCACCATTCAAAAAGAGGTCCACTATGAATAGAGGCACTTATATCAGATAAAAACTGCTTTCCAGTTACATAATAAAATATAACACTAATTAGTCATTTTAGTTTGAGGAACTCAGTAAATTATAAAAATATTAGTTCTATGCAAAGTTTTCTACAACATTTTAAGTTATACTAGTTCAGACTTGTACCAGCAGGTTAGAAGCAGTTAAGTGATGAACTGCAATTATACTTTGTTGAGAAAGTGTTACAGACAAGACAGCTTAACATTAAATAGTTTAGTAGCAAGTATTCAACAAACCAATGAGTTAGAGACAAACTTTGCCCTCTGAGAAGCTAAATGAAAAAGCAACAATAAAGCTTACAGAACTTAGCTCGTACAATTTGCCTTGAAGGCGGTAGATTGGTTCCCTGAAATAGCAAATTGCAAAAATGAAGTTTTATTTCAGAAACATTTTCTCATTCTTTTCAACTCCAAACAATTAACTTACAAACATCTGCTTATTATCTCTAAAATAAAAGGTTCAGCAAAGTCCTTTATACCAGAATTAATCAAGTCTCAACATCGAATTTAAAACGCCAAGCTTTTCCTCCACTTCTTTAGAGAGAAAACATTCACTTAATTAAAAAATCATTCATTTTATTTGTGTATTTTTGAAGAGTTAGATAATTGGTCAACTTTCCTTTTATGGGACACTCCAAAGTGATGACAGTTGTTGTGTTTGACACATGTTCCGGCACAGCTAGATAAGGAGGAAATCTCTCCTCAGAGGGGAGAGACTCGTCTTTGAAGCCATTTCAGTGTTTAGACCTTCCAGGGTTCTTTTTCATTTTAATCCAAACCATATATTACATCAAAAATGCCACTCATGCTGGTCAGGCTGTAGGGGACCATCCCATCCAAGAAGTTATTGGATTATTCTAAGTAAGGTCTCGAAAATAACTAGCAATTTCTTGGTGGGAGGAAGAGATTGAATTTCTATCCCCAAAAAGATAACTAAATTTTCGGAAAATGTCAACAACTCTTGTCCTATGAGAGCAGCAGAATAGGAGATTTTCTGAAATCTCAGGTTTATGACCTGAGGGATCTAAACTCAGTGGTCACATTTGAAAATGTTGACCTTTCTCCTCCTGAGTACTGTTTGATCAAACTGCATGTGAAAACATCAGGAAGATGTTCAGTACCAGTAATTATTTATAGAAAATTTCATTGTCTTATTTTTACTAGAATTTTTTATTTCCTTCTAAAGTATGTACTAGTTCCATAATGGTTTTTTTTCTCTATTTAAGACTTTGCAAAACCCTCAAAGTGAGCATAAACTCTCCAAGGTTGCACTATTTTTATTATTTTTATCTCATATTAAGAAGAGGACTGATCCTGCGAAGTTCTGAGAGTTCCTGGCCCACATAAAAGCAAAGAAAGAAGCAAAGCTCAGGAGCCTCAAGTGTCTTGCAGAATCAATCTCATACTCTTATGTGACAAAAAGAAACAAACAACTAATGAATCTCAGTCAAAATGCTAATTAATCTGAGGCCATCAACCAGTTATTCATTGTTTACTTCAAGAAAGGCCTATGGTACATAGTCAACAACTTTGTGAAGGTTTCAGCAGAGGGAAAGGCAAATCCACTTTTGCTTGCTGAATTGCCCTTCACTGCTGTTAAGCTGAGAACACATAAGAAGTAGGAAAACACTATGACAAAGCACACACACACAAGCAAGTACTCACCAGCATTTTGGATTCTGAAAGTCAGAAGTTTGCAGTTAATGACAAAACACATCGACGTGCAACACGAGATTCAACGCACTGAACGCACTAACCAGCAGTGCAAGCAGGAGCAGAAATTCTAAACATTAAATGATGGTAACAATGGGAGTCAGGTGGCTCTGAAAAGTTCAGCAAAACAAGGCGATGATGACCAGTTTTATGTATGTTTGAAGCAGAAATGGTAAATGATACACAACAGGAAAATACAGCCAAGAAAACCAAACAGCTTGGGTTAACTTGCACATGCCATTATCCATTCTCTGTTAGGTGCCTACCTGATTTCCCACTGCACTTTTGTTAACCTGACTGCTTCTTTGTTGGGCACTAAGGGAAGCAGAGGAAAAAAGTTACACTGAAGAAACTTGAACTAAGCCAGTTCCTGAGCAGTAGATTTTAGCAGCAATAGTTACTTTGGGTTCCAGCAGAGAAAGCTAGATTAACACAGTAAAAGAAACACAGCAAAATCATACATGTGCATATTTCAACTGCTTTTCTACCTGCTTATATTTGTCTGCTTAGAACAGAAGGGACATGCACAGGAGACAGTTTCTACTAATCATATCCTTTGCAACAACATCCAACTTGGATTGGTAAAGGTTACTAAAAAGCACAGAGAAATTATGGCTCATGTGGGTAACTTTGGAAACATTGGCCTCTATAAATATTCAGAGGAGACAAAGAGCCATTTCTGTTATTTAGCACAGTACAACAAAATCCTCCCCTGCTGGAGGCTTCTTAATAGCTTTCTCTTGACAGTTTGTTTTGGATATTATTCTAATATTTATATGCACTTTGAGGGTGTAAATATAACCAATGGATGAAGCCGTCCCAAAGCTGGTTCAAAGCTGAAATTGGATAAGAATAGAGCACATTTGAAATTAAAGCATATTTAAAGTACTTTGCTCAATTCTCAAACTTTGGTAATCCCAGTTCTTGAAACAAAACACACTCCTGTCTCAAAACCAAACAAGTTGCCATTAATTCTAAAAGCATTTGCACTACGTGCTGGTTTGTGTTAGGCCACAACATTAAAATATTTCTGGAAAGAGGCAGAAAAGCATCCAGAGAGAAGGATTTGGCTGCTCAACCACCAGAGCGGGCACTGGCAACAGGAAGTTTTGTTTGGATTAGATTATACCATTTCACCAGGCATTGATTAACTGAAGAAAAAAGCATCCATATATTAGATCAGCTACAAATGCTGCTCTGAAAAAGAAAGGCAGAAAGATGTGCTTGGATCAGAGCCTACAGGCCAATCCTGCCACTGTTTTGTGCACAGCTACTGCTCCAAAGAACTGCTGAAGCACCAAACTCAACCCCATCCAAATTCTGATCTTGCCCTTTGGGCCACACTCTATTAAACCAGCAGTCCACATGCTGCCTGTGAGAAGATCCAAAGGGATATTTATTCTATGTGCCTACTCTCTGCATTTAACACCCTATCATCCTGATCCTTTTGCCCAAGTGACACTGCACGTCCCTGGTGCATCATCTGAGTTGCACAAGCTTTGGGGCATAAATTATGATTAAATAATGCGCACACAGAAAACAGAGCACTAACCCATCAACAATTCTGAAACACACCTGAGATGGCTTTAGGAAACTTAATTGCTATTCTTTTGGTTTGATTTTTTTTTAAATTCTATCATCTTAGGAAAGCTAATCAAACTTCAAACATCATACTAAGAAACTCATGCCTTTTAGAAATAGCCCACCAATTGGTCCTCTAATTACTGTTCTAAACACAAATTACTCTTCTTGTAAATTGAAGCACACAGCTATGCCTGAGTTACACTGACTGGAAACAAATCCAAACCCAAAATTTTACCACTTGTACTGCTAAATGAGACAAACATTAATATTCCAAGATTTCATAATTGCATGAATATACAAATTTGTCCTAAATACTGGCATTCTTAAATCCCTCTCAAGACAGTTCACATCACACTGTACCTGCCTCAGGCCCTGCAGTGCTGCAAGGCAGTTTGAGATGTTTTGTGCTTTCATTCTTATGATCAAGGTTCACAGGACTCACACTGCTAAAACACTGCAGGCACAAGAGACGAGGGGCTAGAAGCCTCAGCAAAGGAAAGGAAACACCAGGGAATCTGGGGAATCTACAGTCCAGGATGTTCAGACGCTGGAGAAGACCACATGCTACCCAAAAATTACTCATTTTCAAGTTCTAACATAACTGAGATAATAACATGCTTATAGTTTCAAATTATTATTTTCTTCTGTTTAGCTCATAAGTGAACATATTTTAAATTGTTCTTTGCTATCCAAATTTTTTCTTTCAGCTGAGCAGAAATCAACAAGGATACTTTGCTTCCCACCTGTTCCAACCTAGAGCAACCTTGCTTAAACTTACAAGTGAACTTAGGTGAAGAGTCACTTGTTAACTGCTTATACCCCGTGCACAGAGGCTGGGGATTTCTAGGTCTCAGTTGGAAAAAGAAGAAGCAGCTTTCCCAAGAAACTGAACTCGGGCACTGCAACACCTTGCAAAAGGCACAGCAGTGAGGACCATGGACTGAACTACAGGCCACAGCAGCAGCATCCAGGAGGGGAATTTTTCCAGGGGAAAAACGTGCTGAAATAGCTTCATATACACCTGGCACTCCACAATCCAATACTATAAAATATGGAAGGTTCCAACTTAACACAAGGACAGTGAGAAGAGACAAGCACTGGAATAGGCTACATAGAGAGGCTGGAGAATCTCCCATTTTGTGATTTTTCCAGATCTGATTCGACAAAATCCTGAGTAACCTGATCTGAACTCAACATCGACCCTCTTCTGAGCAGGAGGTTGGACTATGTGACTTCTCAAGGTCACAGCACACACCATGAATACATATGGAGTGTTTTTAGCAGGCTTTTTCCTGTCAGAAAAGGATGAAGAGAAGTAAATAGCAGGCAGGTTGTTATCTTGACCTCTAGAAGGCCACCTACCATTCCTACAACATCCTGTCATTTGTCAAGAGAACTGATAAAGATATCTAGGACCTGCAAACAACTCTAGAGAAAGTTGCTCAAACCAAACACATAAATAGTGCCTGGCTTTGCCTTCTCCCTTCTCAGCTTACTGAACTCCATGTTTTAAACCCTCAAGGCATACGGCCAAAGATGTGGATCTTCCTTCACAGTGCTAACTAGAATAGGCCAGAGTAAAATACATACACTGGTGCCAAACTGTTGCCAGGATCCCACATGGTTGAAACCTGTTGTGATTCCAAATGCTGTTATGGCAAATAACACAATTCATAAAATGAATGTGACTGAAGGAATATTTATTCTTCAAAGAGTGAAGACATCTTTAATGTTTTTACTAGTGTCAAAATGCTGGTATGAAGTCCCTAAGGCACAAATTGCTGGAAGCTGAGGGAGAACATTCTGGAGAATATTCTCACAGCCTTTTCAATTAAGCGAGGAGAACGTCAAACCAGGCCCTGCAGGGCATTCTGCTACTATTATTCTCTACAGCCAAACAGCAGGCACACTTAAAATTCAGTGACATCCATTATTCTGAGCAAAACTGTTTCACACGGAATCACAGCGCCCAAAATATGCATTAGCAACAATGTGGAAAGACCACCAATATTATGCATTTCTGTGGTCCTGAAATGGATGTGCCAAAGCTGCTTCCAGAGATACATGTAATTCCAGACCCAGACTTCAGCTTCAGTGAAACCAGGCTCGAGAACTGGGTAAAGACTCCTCTGCAAGTGGGATGGAGTTCAACACTCTCTATATTGAGAAAGAACGTGCTCCTGGCATGTCTGGGACTCTGCAGCTTGCATCTTCACTGCCACACTTCAGGACTTGTGTTCTGAATTTAATTAAAAAAAAAAAAAAAAGCAAACAAAAAAAAACCCCTTACAATGTCTTTACAACAAAGTCTCTATATACTTACTTAGCAAAGCCTATAAAATCTTCATGGTTGGTGTTGATATAAGAAACCTGGATATCAATCAGCAGCAGCATCTGTTAGAGATAGGAGAGGAAAAAAAATGGGTAAGGTGGAAGAGAAAGACTGAAATAAAGGAAGGGAATAAAAACCAGAACTTTTGTGTTTTCTGCATTATTGAATATTGCTTTAACAATTGTTCAAGCCAAAAGCAATATTTTCTAAATTCCACTGCTTCTGTTTCTGTGTTTGTTTAATAAGTTAGACTACAGAAGAGCTATTCCCTCTTCCTATTTTTTTTTCCTGACAGACCTCATTTTTCACTCTCTTGGCCCTTGCCCACTCCATTAAGATCAATCATACACAGGCAGAGAGAGTTTATTAATTATATAACAGATTCTAGCTCTACTTTTTGTAAGTCAAGCAAAACTCTGTCTATCTGTGGCATCCCAGCCAAGCCAGCAAAGAACCTGAACTTCAAACCTAAAATCCAGGTACCTCCATTTTCTTTATGTGCCACACAAAGAAGTGATGGGCAAGCTAAGCCCTGGCCCATAAAATGTACAGCCTAGGTACTAGACAGCAATTCTGGTGTGCACATCTGGATTGAGGGATGGGATAGCAAAGAAACAACAGAATGGTTTGTGTACTTATCACTTGCCAGTCCTTCAACAGCCTAGAGACAGAATTTGATTCAAACTTTATAATCTAACTCAAGAAAAAAACTTGCTAAAATATTAGTAAAAGCTCACTACCAGCCTTCAACAGCTCCTGGAACAAAAGACTGCACTTTCCCCCTGTCTTTTCAGACTTCCATGTATCAGCAGGGAGAAAGGAAGGAACCTATTGCTACCAAATGGTAGCACTTAATCTCTTCAAAGTGTATAGAATTATTTTTGTACAGCTCCTCAGACAGAGCATCACTCCCAAATGCTTTACAATTTCCAGAAGACATTAGGGTGCCTCACTTGGAGCAAAAAGTAACAGGGATTTGGATCTATCTCCTACCTCTGAAAATATCCTCAGAATTGTTTTGATTTATTAATGATAACTGATAACAGCATAAATAATGCTATAAATAAGTGACAATAACCCATTTGGCCAGTTCTTGGTATTTACAGAAAGCTGGTACTTTGTGCTTGGTTCTGGGAAATAGTCAGGCATGTGCACACAATGAAGAATGGAAAACAAGACTCAATTATTCAAAGTAACTTGTATCTTCTCCCAAATTTTGAGATAACCGAGTGTTCTAACTAGAACTCCCTGCAAATACAAGCCCAGCAAATAAATTTAATGATTTTTAAGAACTATATTTGCAGCACAGAATAAGGGAAAATAAGCAGGATGTGCTGCACAGCTCTCTAGTTTGTACAGGGACTGGATTACAGAGCCAGGAGTCCAGAACAACTTAGGAGGTCTGCCTAGCTCTTCTTCCCCAAATATTTCTGTTGTCACACTGCACTCTCCAGACAATAATTCCTGTTCCCACTTCCAGTGGATTTTCTAACATGTAATCTAAGCTTTGCAGTTTCCTGGATTTGGAGTGCTTAGCTGGGTGATGAATGCTCTAAACAAGTTTCTCTGAATTTTTGGGGTTTTTGTACATTTTTTGACCTTGAAGGGAAGCTTGTCACTCCTGCAAGAGTATCAGTGGCATTAGTTGTGAGCGCTGCTGTAATTAGAGGATGGGATGGGTACATTAATAACACCTGGAAACAAAGTAGAAAAAAGGCTGGCTATTTCTGTGTGCAGTTGTTTAATCACTAATGGGCACACTGGCACAGGAACAAGCCAACGCTACTTTAAGCCACTACTTAACCTTTCTGTAACAATTTCAGTCTCCTCTGTCAAAGCTCAGTGGTAAAGAAGCAATTTTTCTCCCTCTCTAAAACATGAAGCCTGTTTAAAAAAAAAAAAAATCTTTCATTGTCTTACCGCACTTTGTATGTAAGAACTTTCCTCCCTTACACAGTTCTCCAAACTGTCAGATCTCCTGTTTATTCTCACCTGATCCTTGGTCTTCTCTTCTCTTTCACGAATGTAACCCGCAACAATTCTTTCTGTTTCTTCACACAACCTTGGATAGGTTGCCAACTGAAACACAAAGTTAACAGACATTTACCCCCACAGTGTGGCTTCAGTGGAATACAAACTGGGGAGCCTCCAGTTTTCCTCTTTGGAAGAAAGCAAATACTAGGAATTCTTGGGCTCAAAGTTACCCATGCTGCAAAGCAAGCCTTAATTTGCTTTTCTTCAGAGAAACTGGAGAGGTCTAAACTCTTAGCTTGTTTCTATGCTTTTGCTCCATGGAACATAAATGAAAAGACACTTTAGACACATGAAAACACAGCCTATCAGCCTTGGGGTGAAGTTTCTCTCTCTTCTACTGTGCCTAATTCCAAAGTGGCATTTCAAATAATTTCCAAATTTCTTGTTCTTTAAAGGCTCCACCTTGTGGCAATATCTTTACATAACAATACTTAAATATAAACAGCAAAATACAACAGTAAATTTGCCCAATACTCTCGGGAAAAGCATCTGCACAATTAATTCAAGTGATGTATCTTCCAAACTTTGACAAAAGTGAAAAAAATCTGGAAACTCCCTTCAAAATATAGCGGTGAATCTGCTTCTTTATGATCTTTGCCTTTCCTGTTTTAAGAAATATCTGCTTTACCTGCTTATCGGTATAAAAAAAATTGCTTTATTTGGAAAAATGCAGAGGATGTGACAGGATATTTCTCAACAACTTCATCATAATTGTGCTCACATCCCAGAACAGCTCCTGTACTTGCTGCTCTATACCCTGCACTGAGCTGGTGGGACAGACAGATGGACAGGTGAGACAGTGAAAGTAGCCAGTTAGCTAAGAAGTGCAAACATGGTTCTGAAGACAAAGCTGGGGGCATAACTTGACTCAAAAACACTTCCCATCATAAGATTTAAAAGAAAGGAGTAAAAAAAAAAATGAACTTTGCCATCATTACACTGTTTTGAGAGCTTTGTAGACATAATTATTTGAGAAAGTCTTACTCTGTACATCAAGTGACTGGATCAGAAATCTCTTGTAATACTACAAAATGCAAGACAGGCTTTACATTATCTACCACACCATTACATTTTACTTACATTACCAGATCTATGTGCAAGCTACCTTTTTAGTGCACTTCTTGACAGTGTTGATTAACTCTTGCATCACCAGATCCACACTTTTTAAGCAAGGTCCTTTCAGCTTAACTATCTGTTTTTTAACAATGGCTTCAAATGCCATATCTGGAGTAAACAAACCTGTTCTGTGGACATAAAAAAATATGTAAGACAGTAACAAGAACATCATGCAAGGAAGATTATTTTTTTTTACTGAATTGCTCAAATCTTCATTTTCAGAGCTGAGTGATAACAATCTCTACACGAAGAGACTTCTACAGAACTAAATTTGCTTCTTTCTCAAGCAAGTGTCATTCTGAGTAACAGTATACACGTAGAAATATGCTTGAAAGATATACAAGTAGAAATTACTCCCAGATGTCTGCAAGAACTCTAAAGAGCACTGATATAATGCAGTAAAGCCTCATCAGCCCTGCATCAAACCTTCCAGGAGGGATGAATGGCAGCTGCAGCACTCTGTGCACAATCACCTGCACAGCAAATCCATAAGAATCCTATATCTGCACTTTTCACTCACACCAGGAAATGTCATTCTGTTATTCAGGGTCCAACATGGAGAATTTCACAGTTCACTGCAGGGTATATGAAGCTATATAACAGATACCCCACAGAGCCAGTCCTAAACAAATGGGCCTTACTTCTCTTTCAAACACTGCTCACCAAGGTCTATCTTGGCAAATAAATTATATTTTTAAAAAAACCCAAAACCTCAAACCATAAAAACATGGCCAAAACTATCAGTTCACTACCATAAATCAAGACCTCCCCATCAACAAGGCAAGGAAAGCTCAAATACTGCACCACAGCTATTAATGTCAACCTTCTGAGAACTTACTAACCAAGGAACGTACAAACCTTGCAAGCAGTGCTTTCCAAAGATATTACACCTGTATAATGGGCTTGAAAACATGGGAGCACTTGCCTGATACCATGGATGTTCTTGATGGCATAACTGATTTCTCTACGCAGTTCCTTCTCATTGAATTCCATCTAGAGGAACACAAGCACGTGAGAGCATATTAGGGCAAGTTCTTAATAAAAACAGAAACTATTACCTCTCCCAGTATGACCAGAAGACAGGCAAGTTCAAGTGTCAAAATAGTAATTTCTAATTACACTAAACAAAGCATAAGTATTTTAAAACATTTTAACACTAAGGCTACAGGCAGCAGTAAGGATTGTTGAAAATCACACACCCAGATATACAAACAGCTGGAATGATTTTGTAGAGTCGACAGAGTAAGCCAGAAACAGGATTTGGAAGATGCTACTTTTTTTTTTAGACCTGGTTCCTTGAAGAGGTGTATCTTCTGTGATTATGGTCTGTTTATCCTCTCCTTCCCACTCTACTGTTTTTCAGCCAAATTTAAAAGAGGAGTTGTTTCAATTATGAAGTTATAAAGCTTTTCTTTAAGTTTCTTTTGAAAGTCAGCTAGCTGAAAGAGAAGTTAGTGCTGTCACAAATGAAGGGGTCATTACCTAAGCCCAACTATCATAGAATTATAGAATAATTTGGGTTGCAAGGGACCTCTCACTATGAAAGCATAGGACTGAAAGCTGGCTTTGGTTTAATGTACTGAATATAGGAAGTAGAACATACAGAAAATGGTTATTTTCTATAACTCTAATTTTAATAGATACTAGCTCCTTGAACACAGCTTAAATTTATCAGCTGGAGAGGTCTGCCTGCCCCATTTAACCAGAAGAAAGATGCCATTTGTGACAAAACAATAGAGAAGCACAGAAACTAGTATGAACTGGGACTAAAATTATATTCTAATTCATATACTTTAGAATTCTTAGCATGTCTCAGTATCCAATCCTAGAAATTAAACCAAATGTCTAAAGTATAACTTCATGTAATTTCTTCCACACTTAAGACCATGTTCTTCCAATCAGACCTTTTCTTGGCTATACTATTATCAGTATGAACAAAATACATAAATAAAGCACAAAGCACGTCAGCAAGATGGATAAATACCTTCACTAGTTCAAAAGGAAAACGTTCATGGAAAATTCGGTTGATTTTGGCACCTCCTGAAAGTTCTAGTGTATCAACTTGATCTCCCGATCCTTCAATTCTCTTTTCAAAGTCCACTGAAAACTGTTGCACCATCCTAAATTTTAAAGGGGGTGCGAAAGAAAAAAACAACAAACACAAGTATGTTAAGTTAAGTATGTCAAGTACTAACTCTTACTTCAGTACTATTGACTACTAGTGCCTGATAAAACATGTTTAGGAATTGACAAAAATATCTTTTAACAACAGTTGATTCAGCCAAGCTGTTAATTCATAAAATCCATACCTACACACATCCCCTGCATCCCTTCTCTCTTGCAGGACATCACACAGTATATTTTTTTCTTTCTTCATAAATGTTGTGGGTGGGGGAAGCACCGTTTATTAAACTTTATAGTAAAGTCAGCTAAAAATACAGCAAGGTACCAGGCTACATTCATTTTTTATCAATGATAACACAATTTTAAATGATGCTATTACTTACTAAATAGATGTTTAATTATTTTTTTAATGAAGAAGAAGTGATAGCAGTCTTTTTAGTAGGATAAGAAAATAAGAGTCCTGACATTTAAGTTATAATACATAATGTATTTGAATAGAAAAGCACATCCATGTTCAGATGCTGTTACAGAAACTGCAGACAGGGTAGACCACCACAAAAAAATATCCCCAATTTTATGGCAATCGGTACAATTTGCAGAGTTTATTTCTCCACAATGACCCTTGGATCTTTCTAACATGGCCATGTGGCAGCTGTCAGTACTACAAGCTCCAGCTCACTTGGTTGGGCTTAGACTTCTGCGGCAGGAGCATTCAGAAAAACACACTGGAGAATTCTTCCAGTCACAGAAAAGCCAAAGGTGATGGCCCTCTGTTTTTGCAACCAAAACATCTGGAGTAAAGTCATGAGGAACTGACTTATGTCTACTCTTTTGGACCCAGTTGTTACAAAAATAAGGAGTAAATTGGAGTCTTCGGCTGGCTCAAGAAAGTCTCTCTAGTTCAGCTGATTATTTTCCCTTCTGATTTCAGACTTCTAATTACAGAATGAATCCTGCACAAAACTCATGCATTATCACAATCCAGTGCTATTACTATCTATCTCAGAATGCTGAAGATCTTTGAAATCAGTCAGAGCAGGAATGTGACAACAGTCACATAAGAGACAAGAGCTAGGTACATTTTACACCTCTCTTTTCCTCTCCTAAGAAGTACATTTTAATTGCATATGAACACAAGAGTGGTTGCAGAGGGTTACAATCTTAAAAAAAATGGGAGAACAAAAATGGCAGACCAGTATTGGGCATCCCAGGAAACAGAGCAGGTAAGGAAGCAGCACGAAGCAAAGCAACAGCTGCCAAGTGGTGTTCAATGTGAAACATCAGCATTGGCCTTTTTCCATAGTGCTAAATCCACAATCAAGAAAGGGCTCTGATTCCACTTCCACTTGATTCAAAGTCAGATGAACAGTTATCTCTGTTCCATTCCTTTACAATGGTGTTATCAAAGATCTCTAGGTCTTACGTGCACAACACATGAAGGACTACCATCTATGATTAATTTTGATCTTGCCATCTTTGAGTTCTTTTGGAAAGACAAGTTCTTACATTAGAAAAAGAAGCATTCCCTACTCTCCTTCCACCCTCCTCATCTTACAGACTTCTAACACAATGTCCTTCCTTTGCTTGAGGTCATCTTTTCAGCAGACAGAATGTGCCTATACAATCAGAAGCAGTTTCTTACCTTTGATCATCTCTGATGCCCATCTTTATACCTTTTCCTTGCTCTGCTTTCTCTCTTTCCTAGGATTACTAAAATTAATTTAGGGAAAACTGCTGAAATTTTAGAGTATATAAAGTGTTTAGGGAAAACCGCTGAAATTGTAGAGTATATAAAAAACACAGAATTCTTTGGAGTTCACATATAGAATCCTTAATCATATCCTAATCTTTAGATTTAAACCCATTAGAAAGAAGAAAAAAAAGAAGTAAAACAAACCTATACAGAGCAGAAAAGCAGACAAAAGACACTCACTGCAACAGGGCTTTTGTTTTTCTGGTTGGATCTTCCGGTCTGAAGTTTTTGTATACCTCTACTTCATGTTCTATAGAAAGCAGCTGGCTCTGGAGTTTGCTTCTGAAGGCTGGCAGAGTATCCCGAATATGATTGGTAAGTTGCTAAAAAGCAAATAAAAGTCCTTTTATATTGTTAATAAAGATGAAAGCGTGAGCACAACCATTTCCTTCTGACTGCCAAGCTTATCAGCCATGACCTGTGCTAGTTTACCAGGGCAGTTCCTTTTGATCTCTGAAGTAATGGAGGCTGTTAAAGAACAATACCATATTCTTTGTGCATACACATTATAAAGAAGCTCCAAAAATTCCTTTGTCCTCTCACTCACTGAGCCCTGTTACTACATACCTACCTAGTTACTCACGAAAAGTTACACACATTACATGTGTAATTTGAAATGACCTCTCATCACTCAGTGCTGATGACATCACTCCTGTTTTGCTGGTTTTCCTAAAGGTGTTTCCCAATTCTGTACGATGACTCCTTTGCAGCCACAAGGCAATGTGGGACAAGAAAGAGATTCTGAGCATCCACATCCCATTGATGGGCATTACTCCAGAGGTGGAGTAAAGTACAGACATCAGAGTAGCTTCTTGGCACTTTCCCAAGTGATTTTTGCTCCCTTGTGCAAAGCATACTAAAGGGAAGAGATCTGTGCCTCATATTAATGATTTTATAACTTTTCCTTTTTTAAACACTTGATTTTCAGCTGAAAAAGGTTCTACCACTCAATATTTTCAGTTTTTGTTTCCGAAAATATACCTAAATGTACTGGAAAATAAATTGAACAAGAGTAGAAAAGAACTTACCAGATCTGTGTTTAACTTACCTCGCTTGTTTTTGCGTATATATATTTTATTGTGTTTGGACAGCATTATCAATGTCTTACCTGCCCCATAAATTTCTCACGCATTGCATCCATTCTTTAATTAAAACTAAACTGGGCTTCTTGCACTATGCCCCAAACCCTTTTCCCAACCCCAATCAAACAAGCTATAAATTCAGAATGTCATATACCAAAAGAAACTCAAATTTGAAGTCGTTCACCAGACTGACAGGCACAAAATCGAAATCTGGAGTTTCCCTGGAGCACCACCTTGTGGATGCCGAGAAACGGAATTATTACCTGAAACCACAAACACTAACAGGTCCCCAGCATCTTAAGGACAAAACTTATGCAGATCTTCCCATATATAATATTCTACACACGGTAAAAGCAACAAAAGATCAACAGTTCCTACTGAAGTAGGTAGATTTTCAAAACAGCTCACAAAAAATTTAATAGTATATAAAGTAATGAAAATCAGGACAGATAAGACTGTCCAAAGGTATATGTAGCTTGTGCTTCAGTTTCAAAACTAGGACATGTGAATTAAACTTTCAATATATAAAAAGAGGCAAAACATTCTAAACACAGGTAAAATTGTATCCTCATTAGGGTCACGTGCTGGTCAAGCTAAGAAAGGGCTCTACAAAAAGAGCAATACCCAGAGACCCAAAATGGTGAAGAGAACTCCAAGCCTGCTATAGGCAGGGCCTTCATTAGGACAGTAAGTTATGGGTTTCTCCTCCAGGTAACTGGGAAATAGCTCTATTTCCAGCTGAAGGAAGCTGGGATCCAACACAGTTTGGCACAAACTTATAGATATAAACCAGAGCTTTGGGCAAAAATAAAAGTAGGGTGGCAAAGTGTTCTGATTACTGTCATTTGTCATTTATATCATTAGTGCACAGTATATGTTTATAGTAACAACTACAATAAAGTGTACATTTTCAGGTTAAAGTACAGACACACAGTGCACCCTCAGGACACATAACTTCTAAAAAGTCTTTTTTTATCCCTGATTTCTAAATATGAGTACTAAAAATCTTGTTAAGAGAAATGTGATAAGAAAGGAATAGGATGGTGTACTCCCAGGAAGGGAGACAAATCTTATTTTTGATGTTTATATTCAGTATTCAAGAGAACAGGGAGGAGCAGATAAATAATAAATAAAAGTCAGAATAAAAGTCAATAAAAGTCAGAAACCACATCTCACAGCAAGCTTTTGTATGCTACAAGTAATATACAGCTTTGGTTTTACCTTGTGCAAATTAAAACCATTAAAAGCAGGAAAGAATAAGTGAGGTTCAGTGACCAACATTCATTTTAATAAAGCTTTTGTATTGGTCCTATTGTTATAAAGCTGCCTTTCTCCACAAAGGCTTCAGGTTTTACCTGGTTTAGAACTTTCTGGAGATACGGTGTTCCCATCCGATCTGCCATGTGCCTGTAGGATGGATGGGAAAGAAAGAATTTCCTTTCTGCTAGAAGAGCTGCTTTTATGTCCTTCTTCCCATCAATGTCTTTCTGGCTTCTGTTTACAACACCAATATAACCTAAAACAACACAAAAACAACAGGTAAATCAATGCAGCTATTGCCTGAACTGCTGAATTCACCTTGACTAGAACTAAACTTTCAAATTTAGGCATTTTAGATACTGTTTACAAGTACTCAAGTGGCCTTAATGCTGTCTAAATTGTTCATTCTGTTTAGGTATAACAGATACACTTACTTTTAAATCACCAGTGCAAAAAGAGAAATATATGAAACTCTGGCAAATCCCGAAGAAACCATTTCAAAAATAAACCAACAAAAAATCCAAACCAAAAATCAAAACACACACACACAGGTCCACACAGATAAATGATGTAATATTAATAAAATACAGAAAAAATGTCTCATTTGCTGGATCAATATGTTCCATGGGAGGAGATGGTAGTTTCATCCATAAATTATAACTAGAATCAAAACTATTACTGTTATTAACAGCATGAGCAACTGTGGCAGTAGCTGCCAGAACAATCACATGGAAGATTTCTGGAAGGTATCATAAATTGTTTTATAGTGAAATTACCAAAGCTCTGGTGTTTGTTGCCGTCACATGCAAAGAAAAAAAGATTCATGTGTTACAGTGACAGCAACCTGACAGAGAAGAAAAAAATTGGCTAAAAGCTTGTGCTGACATTTCTTGCTTCCTCTGGAATATGCAGTGTGTTTTCCAGGTCCAAAAAAACCCCTTATTTTACTTGCAGGATATTTTTAGCACAGCCATCTTTTACATTTGGTGAATAGATATCTATAAAAGCAAAGAACTCATCAAGTCCAGCATAACCTTTGATTCATCTCCAGGACTCTCAAACACTACCCTTATCCAAACCACTTTCCGGATTGCAAAAAATACAGGCAACTGAACATTCTCACCTCTGCGAAGAGGGAGTAGTTTGTTTTCTAGAACTTCTCTCGCATCTGTTCCTTCATCCATCAGATCCAATTTTGTGATCACACCAATGGTCCTAAGGCCTGACCAGGGTGGAGACAGGAGGAAAAAGTTACTGAAGAATCATTTTGATTCAGAAAGAACAATTACAATTATATAATAACAGATGTGTAGCCTTCTCAAAGCTTGTATCACACCCTACCAGCTACAACTCAAGTTATGGTATGTCTGGAAAAGAAGGGAACAGAATTGCTGAAACGTGTTCCTCAAATCTCTTTAACACGGCTCAGCAACCCTACAGTATGACTGTATAAAATTTATAATGCAAGTATTCAGAAATCCCATCAGCACTATGGCCCATTTTGCCTGATACTACAAAAATTCCTAGATAGGCACTGCTGCACTTGCTTATAAGAGACAGTGACAAAATTTTTAAAATACATTTACAGCAACATTACCAGAACAATACTGAGCTAACCCACCGTTGATGTTGAAGGCTGCATGAGAATGTATATATATACATCTATTTAACATACTTTCCATTATAAAATTTCACACAAGAGTTGATCTATTACTTCCAATTATGTTCTTACACTGAGAACACAAAGTGGTAATCCATCAATGCTTACCCTGAGGGTCCACTTCCTTTGCCAGCTTCAGGGCGTCGGAGTTGGCCAGATCAGTGTTCGCTGGAGTCACAGCCAGGATGAGACAGTTTTCCCGGGATATGAACTGCATTATCATGTCTCTGATCTGTTGCTCAATATCTGGAGGCTGATCCCCTACTGGCACTTTAGTGATTCCCGGCAAATCAATAAGGGTCAGGCTTAAGACTATACAGAAAACACAGGATCACAGAACTGGTTAGCACACCAGACATGTCGAAGAGGTCTATACATCCATAGCTGCAGACAAATTTTAGTCACATAAAAGCCCTTTATGACCTTTACAGGCATATAAACATTGTCAGCAGTTCAAACAAAATGCCTGCCAATCTGAAAGGTATATTTGTTTCCCTGTTGGTCTTTCATCTCTGAATTTATTAGTGTTACTTAATATTTTACATGTTACAACTGTTATAAGTATCATCTTATACCAAATATCCTTGAGGGCTCTTAGACAAATGAACATGGCTTTCTGAGCTTTGTCCCACAACAAGAGCACAGACAACAGACCATTCCCATTGCATCCTTCAAATCAATGCAAAACAGTTGTTTGGGTTGTCGGGTTTTTTTTAAAACATAGTCTTTCTCTGACCATGCTTTGAACAATGTCTCCAATTAAGAAATTCCCAAAAAAAGTCAATAGCTGGCTTAACTTATATAGCAAAATTGTTGTTAAGAGGTGGGGGGCTATATTGTTGTTCTGAAGGTTTGGGGGTATTTTTTACTCTGCAACTTCTTCAGAAAAGTAATAAACATGAAGAAGTTAATCCGCTAAAAAAACCTGATTTGCTCTGGCATGATTTCCCCATTACAGGTCACAGTGCCAACTAGAAGCATCCCAGCTTGTTCAGCCAGTACTGGGGCAATAGGGTATCCTTTAGACAAATGAGAAAAATGCTATTCCTAGAAAGGAAACACCAGAAGTATATTTTGGGTCTGGTTAATACAGACAAGAGTTGCTGAACCAAAGACTGGTTTTACTAAAACAAAGTAAGAGCAATAGGTAGGAAATTTTCACTTTCTCCTGGAGTCAGCATGTTCAACCAACAAGCTTTGAGGCAGGGGATTTAGTTCAGCCCCTCTCCAGTTAGAAAAATAAAGTGCTTCAGCCAAACATACCGCTTTTCTCCTGTATCAAAGACAGACTCAATGGGAAGCATTTTCCCTAGACTGCCTTCATTAAATTGGGCAGATGGTAACCAGAGGAACTAACTTTGATCTATACTGGGGGTCTAAAACAGAAAGCAGCTTCAAACACCATTATTGTCTGAACATGTTTTTAGTGACAGGGAACAATAAACTTCCAGTAAGGCAGGGAGACACAGTGACTTTCTAGATCACTATCAGGGAATCCCTCTGGAGGGTGCAAAACTGTTTTGCCATTAAGTCTCTCATCTCCTATTATTTGTCTTTACTAATGAGCTACCATCTTATGAATGTACTGGGGGAGAGATTGCTTCCATCCTGAGGCAGGGTGAGAATATTTTTAAATAAAGAGAATATTAAATGGGGCAGAGGGTCTGTGTTCTGCCCATCTCTCATGGCAACAGCTCTCCACTGTAGAGTGGTTTCTTAAAACAGGAGAATTTGAGGATTCTTCCAGACACATACCCACTTTTGGTTCAACTTAGCCTCAGAAGCTTTTTCATCCCAGAAGAGCAAGCAAATCAAAAGGGCAATGGCTAGACAGACAGAGCTACATAATACATTATATGACAGAAGTGTAAAGGAGAATGATTGTACCTACCATGTGGAGAATATACTCTTAAATTAATAGGAATTGAAGAAATGCCTTTGTTCATTCCTGTTACTCTATCTGTTTCTGCTTCGATTTCCTGACGAACTTCATCAAAATCAGTAAATTTCTTCCCTTTGCAGTGTAGAAATTCGGCATACTCTGTGAAAAATGTCAATAACAACTCTGTTATTTCACAGGCTTATCCACTTTCAAGGCCCTAGTGGTCTTCAGATGTGTGTGCACAGAAGCACACCATCATGGCTATCAGGAAAGCATTATTGTGATTACACATACAAAAACCAGTCTGCAACGAGAAAGGCTTAGTTAAAAGGTCAAGTTGACTGGAAATGATTTACTCCTCTTATCTTTAGCACATCATCTTCTGGAACAACCTGAAAGATTCAATTAGATGCCATTTACAGTAATAGAATAAGGAACAGATTGTGAATCAGATTCTGAGTTTTCATCTGATTACATTTGCCTGTAATACATCACCAAACTGAAAAGTAATTCAAGTTCTGTATCATGAAAGATTATTAGCATTTGTTTCAAACACTAACAGCCCATGTCATGCACAAATTTAGCAAAGGAATTCTGTAAATTTTTACAAGTTCATAATGAAAATAAGATCAGTTAAAAACACTGTAATGTTTTCAACACAACTCCTCATTCCCTAAATCTTCCAGTTGTCTAAATCCAAATCACACAGGTTTAAGTGTCTAGAGAAATAGCTGTGATTTTGCTGAAGGGGGAGAACACAATTAATTCCTAAGTTTTCGATATCATTCAACTTGTCCTGTACCTTAAAAGGGCACTGACCAGGAATCAGGATAGATACAGCCTAATTTGTTAGACCCAAACTTGACACAAGGTCCCTGTTTCGACTTTTGAATCCCAATATTGATACTAATTACTGCAACCTTTTAGTTGCCTGTATAACCATGTTCCAGGATTTTAAAACTGGACTTTATTCCTTCAAAAAAGAACACAGAAGTTGATGTCACGTAGCAAGGCTGCAATCAGAAACAATGACATGAGTGGTAATCACAGGTACAGCTCACATCCTGGCCCCACAGGGTCTAAGCACTAGGACTGGAGAAGGGCTGAAAAGAGTCGTGTGTGTTCCACTTCATTTCATCCTGCAGTCAAGGTCTGACTTCAAAGTTCTGTTTACATGTTTCTTCCCCAGAAAATGTTTCTTGGTAACAAGCCCTCAAACACCAGGGGAAGGAGCTTGCTTGGTACTCAGAGAAAGAACAGCAGCTCAGGAGACCTATTCTAAGAACAGGGATTAATAGAGGACCTTATGAGTCAGTTCTGAAGCCTGTTACTCAAAAGTCACTTTCTAACTATCATCAGAGCTTTTAAAATAAAATAAAATTACATTTAAAAAAAACCCTACAACAATAGTTGAAGCAAACTGAGAGACCAAAAAAAATAAAAAGACACAGAGGAGGGGAAAACAACAAATACCAACCTTTCTGTGCTACAATACCATAATCCCTCCAGATTCAAACTGTGAGGAACAGGGAAACTCACTCTTGTTAAGACAAAAATACATCACTTATTTTAAAAATGAGACCACCCACCAAAAACCCTGCCTCACTTTTGACAATTTAAACATTCCAGAATATCTTAGATTCTTTTTTTAGCTCCTGCAGCAAAATTACAATGAATGTGGAGTTTGTTTCATTGCCAACTGTTTATTTTAAAAGTCAAGGAATATTCAAATATTTCAAAATGAAAAATAATATTGTGCACAAAATAAAAGAGCTCTGTTGCTCTAGCACATTTGAGAATTTACATTTGTCAAATTTGTCATCTTAAAGTTGGAAAACATCTACCTCATTAAAAAAAGAGCTGACATACTTTTTCCCAGTTCTTCATGCACTGCTCCTGGCATAAAACAATGCATTCTTCTTAGGTTTTCATCAGATTTTCTCAGAAAAATCTTTCTAAATTCAGTAAGTAATACTTGGTGTCGAGCTGGAATCAGTTGGCTGATTCAGCTGACTGCCAAGGAAGCTTTTCTTTTTGTTCCACTTCACACTCAGGAACAGAAAGAGTCGCTCTCTGAAATGGCTTCAAGGTAGTAAAAAAAAATGTTTGTTACTTTTTAGCTGTGTTAATGTCAATAACTCATCCCTCCCAGTGGCATCTGAGGTCCCACCAGTGCTGCAGGAATAAACTTCACTGGGGTTCTTAACCTGTGGTGCCACACAAGAGCCCACGGAATGAAAATTCAAACAGACAAGTGGCGCTTTGTTTGGCTCCTTTCAGCCCTCAGCCTGTCCCTGGCAATGATGCCTTCAGCCAGACTGGAGAAGCACATGCTTTAATGCAATCTTCACTTTCCAGCTTTCATACACAGAAGAATACTAAGGACACATTTTACTTACATTTTTGTGGGAACGGACACAAAGCCAGACAAGAAAAAATGATCCTGCCTGATGTCCAGCTTTCAAACATGTATTTTTTTTTGTATAGAAAGGAAGTTACATTACAAGAAGGAACAATTAGATACAAAATTAAAACAGTCTTTGCATGTAAAATGCTTCCTTTCCCCCCCCGCCATGATTCATTAAAAGCACCTTGGATAATGTAGAATGAAAAGGTTACCATAGCAGAGTTCCTTGAGTGCACCCACAAGTGATTATTTATCTCTTGAATTTTTACTAAATTAGACAAATAATACAAAGAAGTGTTATGGGACAACGTCTTTTAAATGTTCCTAATTTTTCCGGTCAGTTATATCTCCCTATGCTTTTATGATTTAATCTTGTTTATGATTTTATATTGTTATTACCAATAAACAGCCACTGCTGTTCTCAAACCATTTAAATTACATCCACACTTGAGATGTTCCGTAGATTTGTCTCTAAGCCAAAGAGAGCTGAGTGACAAGACACGGATCAGCCCTTAGAAATACACAAGAGATGTTCTGGAAAACATCCTTGATCCACATCAGGCTGAGCCCAAGACCTTCCAAAGCTCAAAAACTTTACCCTGTACAGAATAACCTGTTACTAGAGGTCAGGAATTCACCAAGATGAGACCAGGACTCAGAATTCCTCTCAACCTGATTTCAAACAGAGTTGCTCCAAGTTGGTAATAGTATCCAGTCTAGAACACTCAAAAGAGCTTGTGAGTTTTCCAAAAGGGTGGCTCATTAAATTGTAGGTCTCTAGCAATCATTTTAAACATATACAGTAAAGGGGGAATACCTGCTATTATTGCATCTTCTACCTGCCAGCCCTTTAGAGAGATGTCACCCAAGCAACAACAGTCTTGTTGATTCCAACAAAGCACCTCACAAAGCCTCACAACACTTTTCAAGGGTGATTTCAAGAGAGTGTTCTAAAAACAGGCAAATAAACACCGTCAGCAAAAGTACATCACCTCTTCTTTGATGATGGACCAGCTTTTCCTGAGCAAAGCAAATGCAGTTAAGTGAATCTGGACCGCAGCAAATCATTCAATAGTGCTTCACTGAAAAGAGAGGCAGTATCAAAAGCCCTTGTTGCCTTAATCTATAATCTGTCTTCTACTTCACCATTTCTGTAGCTTTGCTAACAAGCTGAAGATGAAATATTGAAACTGAGGTATTCCCCTGCTAACCTTCAAGCAGAAAGGCTACAAGAAATAGAAGTACCCTGGTGTTTCCAGAAGACAAACCAGAAAATCTTGTCAATGCAGAGGATTGCAAGAATATCACAGCACAAGACAGAAAAATATTGAAAATAGTGTAGATCTGATGAAAATAACTGGCATAAAATACCAGGTCACGTTCCTAGGAACCAATGAAATGGTTAATTATAAGGGTAGACACTCGTAGCAGAGAATGCAATGATCTTTAACATCTTTGAAACTCTTCATTTGTAGAAGAAATTTATCTCTGTTCTTTCAACCTTCTCCTCTTGATCATGCTTTCCAAACTTCCGATCACTCACACAGCCATTCTCCAGGAATTTTTCCTAAAGTCACAGAGGCAGAGCTCTCACCAGAGCTCTCTCTCCTTCCCAGGACTGAGAAAAAGCAGAACTAGTACTATAAAAGACTGCATTCTTCTGATGCATCCTGTACAGTATTCACTTCTGTATTTTACAACAGCACAACATCAGTGAGTTACGTTCTGTTAGAGATTCACTGTGAGCACCAGGTCCTTTTCTGAAAACATCAAGTACCAGCCTTTCAGTACAGAAACAGTCTTATCCCAATTGAATTCCTTCCTACTTTGGGGGCATTTCTCTTCTTTTGCAAGCAATCTAAATTCCAATTCTGCCCTCCAGTATCTTTTATATTCTCATTTGTATTTCCTGAACACAAACTTAAGGAGCACACTTCATTCTGTCATCCTACCAATAATACCAGATACTGAACATGAGCTGGAGGGATGACCCCTCCACTCTGTAAACAACTGTGCATCCATCTACAGGAGTCCTTTCTAAATCATGTTTCCCAAGATTGCTTATTATATTAAAAAAAAAAAACAAGATAATTTAAAAACCCTTACTGTACCGAAGAAAGACACCACCACGCCTTAATTGACAAGCCTGACACCCTGCAATAAAAAAATATACTGCACTGATATGACAGGGTTATGTCCCTTGATGATTTGTGTTGGCTGCTGTTCATCTCAAAATACCTTTCAGATTGTTAGTTAATAACTAATTACAGATTTCTTTTTCTTGAAAGTGAACTTTGACTGATTCTTCTATCACTTTTTTTTAATATATATCTTTCTGAGGATGGTCAAATACAGAGACATTTTCCATTCTTTCAGTGAGGGGATTCCATCTTTCCTGGTGTCACTGAGCATCAATCTGGGATCAAGGAAACAAAAGCTTCCAGGCAAAACCACTTGTATTGTATTTGCAGGTACAATTAATCTGTCCCAACGTGAGCTGAAGCCCCTTTGATGATGTTCATGGGAGATCTGGCCGAGCCCTTCAAGCCACTCTGCCGGACCTCAGCAGTCCCTGCGGATCAGCTCAGCTTGCCAGCACAGACAGCAGCAGCCAGAGACAATGGCAGGTGCAGAGGAACATTTGCAATCCCTACAACCTTACCCTGTGCTTAAACTCAGGCTCCAGACCGGCACCGTTATCCCTTTTCCAGGATATCGGTCCTGTGTGGGTGATGAGCCTTCCATTGGCTCAGGAATGGGTCACCAGTCCCTACCTCCTTTTCCCCGTGGTGGTGTCACTTTTCAGCTTTTGGGCTATGCACCTCAATAATTTTTTTGGTCTCTACAGCATCCTTGTCCATCATCTGAACGAGAAGCTGCCAGAGAGTGGCATCCAGAAGATTGCAGCCACTGTCTTCTTTTTCTCCTTGCAAAGTGCCCAGTCTCTTCCCTATTATTGGCACTGTGGCATTTTTCTAGTTTTTGTCCTTCAGGACCTCCACATGCCTTCCTGCTGATGAAGTCCCTAAGATCATTTGTGTTAGCTGAAATAACCAATCTAAATTATTTTTATAATTTTTTCATAGTCTGTTAGAGGACTGCTTTTGCCACCAGAGGGCAACAGAAGATGGCTCTCCTTGAGGAATAGTCTTGCAACAAACGAAATTTGGATTAAAGCTCAACAACTTCAATAGAAGAGAGCATCTGCAAGACTTCAGAAAAAATCAGGATGTCTTTTGAACCTTATGTTTGCTTTCCACTTAGTATTCTAGTTAACAGAACTCAAACAAATGTGGGTATTGCACTCATTCATGTAAAACTGTCCACCTCAATAATGATTTTCAAAATCTGTTAATCTGCTGAAACAAGAAGAAAATCTGAAATTCCTCCACAAACAGTTGACAAAATGATGAAAATAACTCTTCTAAAGCCAAGACATTTAACATACAAACAACAGGGTTTATATAGCAGACAATGTATTTTAACAAACAGAAGACCTACAACAAAGGCTTCACCCAAAACCCAGGAGCATTTTTTCTTGCCACTGCTGTTTAAAAAACATACTACCAAGTCTCAAGAAATGTAGTCATTATTTCACCTGCAGAGGCACAGCGAGAGGAAGAATACATTGCTTAAGGTTATACAGAATGTATGGCAACCGAAAAAAAAACATGAAACAAAAAGCCCACAATGCTCAATATCTTTCTCAGGCATTTCAAGTCATGACCTCCTCAAAGCCTCCTCAGCAGCACCATTTAAAAGTTACAGTAACACTGGCCAAACTTGCAGAGAGAAGATTAGGAGTTGAAATGGAACTAACTGGGTTGGGCATAAGGTAATGTTATGTTGCTCCAAGACAACTGAACACTCGTACAGCCTTAAAATTCTCATCCCAGGTCAGCTGTGCACCAACACTTATATCTTAAAGACACATGGAGAGAAATCCACCTAAAAGCCTGACTACAGGAATACACACAGCATTCCTGCTCCTGAAAAGCAGGAGTAAGAAAGTGAGAGACCAGCACTCTGCACTCACTGGGAACTGCTGAAATACCACAACAAGCAACATTTCAAATGAATGCTGCCTTGGTGAGAAAGCAGGAGCTCCCTGGATCTAACACTGCAGCACTCAAATACAGAAAGAACCAGCGTGTCTTTTACCTGAATTTAGAAATCCATCTTACAAAATAAGCTGCACTCACATCCAACTTCTCACCCAGAAAAAAAAGCAGGTAGAACTCCTCCCACGTGCATCCTCTGAATGTCTAATTTATGACAGCTGTCTTGCCCATCTTGTAAAACCTCAGCTGGCCATCAGACAGGTTCCCAGCTAAGAGCACCTGTGCCTTCTAAAACTCACTTAACTGCACCTTCCCAGGTGGGACTATTTTCTTCAAACCCATTATCTAATCTGAGCTCCTTCAGGGGCTGGCAACAACAGAGAACAAGCCATAGTCTTTCAGAGGACTGTAAATTTTTTAACATCCATATTCTGACTTTTTCAATGCTATTAGGTATTTCTCACATGATCAAACTCAGAGAAAAATACTCAAAATTAAATAAGACTATTTTGTCAGTTGCAATATTTAATTAAAGCCTTTCTATTTGCCTCCAGTATTTCAGCTGAGTACAGTATTTGCATGGATGTGGAGCGAAAATGTCATAAAGCCATTCAGAAATTGTACTAGGATCACCAAAATATGTTAGTGGCTAAAAGAGGTCAAAAGGTCACTGCAAAATAGCTTTGTATTAACTGCACAGAATTTTTAAAAAAGAGGAAGTAAACAAATTTCTAAAAAAAATAAATTAAAAATACTCCATACCTCTCATGAGATAAGTTTCTTAGTATTGACCTGTTTCATGTTACCCCTTGCAGAGGTAACAGCTCTTTACCCAGGTGTGTCAGATCTTTCATATGTTGGGGGGCCCCTGGTAATTCCTCACAACCAATTCCTGCTGCACCTTTCCACGACATGTCCAACCCTAATAATGGATGGTCACAGTTCCCTCTTACTGTGATGAGCACGGATTCCTCTGCTGCTTCATCCCTTACTGCAATGGCTCAAAGCTAAATGAAGCTTTAATCTCCTCTGTCAATCAAATTCACATTCCAAACGATTCTCAGCCAGTTCCAAAATGCTGATAAACTATCTTGTAGTCATCTCTGAATGCCTGTAGAGAAAGTGCCCCCTTCTCTCCCCAGGAATACTATAAGATTAGGAATAGCTACTTTTAAGAGAGTCTAGAAAGATCCCTGGATCAGAAATAAGTTCTTACTACAGCACCAAGAACCTGATACAGCCCTCTAATTATTCTATAACATTTTAGATATTTATGGACTTGATAGACATCAGTCCAGCATCAGCTTCCTGTAAAAGAACACTGTGCTTCTCTAAGCAGTTTGCTTTATTTTCTTTTCTTAAAATTAGTTCACAAAGATAAAGGTGGCTTAAAAGATAAAGTTATTTGGAATTTCAACACCAAAAACAACAACAGGGAACAAAGTTTAAAGAAAGTAACAAAATAATTAAAGCTTGCATTTTAAAGGTTTTGGCATCTAATCCCGAACAAGAAATACACAGCATTTCCCAAAGGGAGAAATATGCCTTGACATCCAGGAAACATAAAATTAGGCCGAAGTTCAGTTCTCCAGAATTTTTTAAAGTTCTTGTTGTGTTATTTAAGTTATAATGAAGAATGAATTTTCAGCAGAGAAGGTACCTATACAAAGCCTATAGGCCTACCTAAAGCTAGTAATACTTTGTGAACATACAAATGAGGAAAATACCAGAAAGAGAGAAGCCCTTTCAGTGTCCCCTCAACCAAGGGACAGTGATGACTTTACAGAACAGGGCAACATGGACCAGTTTAGGATGGATGTCAATGAATAAGTATGTAACCACCTGAGGTCAGAGTGTGAGTTTTTACTCTACTCTCTGTCCCCAGAGTTTAGTAATTTTGTTAGGAATGCCAGCACAGAGCCCAGTGCATTTTTTTCTTCTACTCTTACATGGTCCTGGGAAAATTACATTGAAACTCTCTATAGCTGGGCCTTATTCTTGCATTTATTTCTGCATGCTCTGTCAGAGATCAAATGCCACATATGCAGAAATGGCAGGTGTGTTTATCTCCAGCTAAAACTTTGTATTTAATATCTAGAGAACACCATAAGCATATTACACACTTGGAAACCCTGAAGTTTCTAAGCTGAGCATACAGAAACACTGAATTTGACTGTTTTTTCTTTCTCTTCCATAGAATAAACATTATGGAAAATTTCACAGAGGCATTGAAAGTGCTTTAAAAGTAGTAATCCAGACAAAAACCTGAAGCCTAGACAGACAGCAGTCTACCTTCCTGATGAACAATGCAAAGATCTTTTAGGAAAAAATACTCACAGAAGCTTCATTACACCTGACACATAAGGACAGAATGAAGTTTCACAGGCAGCTTCAACTTTGTTTCTTCCCCAGTTTCATCATGGTGCATAATTTAAAGAGCACTTTTTGCTTTTAAAAGCTGTTTTGGATGTTATTTAGTTACTTTTTACTATTTTAAGCAGAAATCAATAGTAAACCAGTATTTTTTGTTGCTTACATTGGTTTAGAAGCAACTACAAAAAAAATTTGGAATGATGGAAAACTGTAGCTGCTTTTATATGTGCTGGGGAAACTGAGCTACATCAAAGCAGATAAAGTGCCCCCTGGAAGGGGACAAAGTGGTGAATTCTGATGAAAGACCTCAATAAGTCACACAGTTTAGTGGTACATACAAAAATATTTATATTTTTGACCACACAAATACACAGAAGCCTTGTTTTCCCCCAATCTACCTTCTGCTCTATTTAATGCAGTGAGCCCAACCAAAAAAGACAAGTTACGAAAACAAGCTGTGTGGAATCAAATCTGTGTGCACTGGAGCAAGAGTTAAAGGTAGAAGTGCAGCAATTTTGGTGTGTTAACTAATACAGATGCAAAGCTCATCAAGAAATGAATAAATCAAAGCTAATTTCTAAAACACACTGTATATAATGATGCTTCTCCACTGCTTTGAGTGTGATCTTGGACTAATTCACTACATGCTCTAGGATTTAGATGTTACTGTTTTCCCAGACAGGACAATGAAATTAGTTGGTCCAGAGCACACAGCTTTAAAGCAGCAGGCCCTTGTTCCAGACAGTCTGGTGGCACCTTTCTTCACAATTTCCTAGAAAAGTTTTTCCTCCTGTTGAAATACAGCAGCACTTTGTCCAGGCATTGACCCAAAAAGAGACAGAAATTACCTGTTTTGGCAGTGATGAGTTGCAGGACCAATGGTCGTCTTGTCACAATTCCAGAACCTCGTGGAAGAAAATCCCTGGAAACATTAAAAAAAATACTTACTACCCAGAAAGTACTGTCCACTTATATAAGATATTGGACTAATTTGGAACCTCCTCTATACCTTGAGCTGCAGTGAAAATGGAAAGTTCACGGGGACAGATTTATATTAAACACTCCTATAAAATAGGGCTGTTAATTTTGGTTTGAGATAGTAGTAGGTCATTAGACAAATATGAATTAAAACTAAATTACTGTCTCAGGGCATTACCAAGCCTCTTCAAGGCCATTATATATAATACCTCAAAATTCACATTGAGTATCCAAAGCCAAGCCCAAATTTATCAGGCTCTCTAAAATAATTGTGTCATCAATCTACACTTGATTTGAAGAGGATTTGCACATATGAATACACACACACCCCACACCAAAGCTCTGGCCAAACCAAACTGCCAGCACTCCACACCTACTCTTTCACACACTTCACTCCTGCTGGATCAAATCCCCAAATAACCTTTCCAGCAACACGTCTCCCCAGAAGCGTTTGAGTGAAAGCTGAACACTGTGGGACAGCAGGAGGGATTGTCCTTGGACCAGAAAGCAAAAAATAAAGCAAAGACAACAACTCTGTCTGATCATGCCTCCTATGATCCTTCCATGCTTCCAAAGATAGGGAGACTCCCCATGCAACTGAAACCCTAGAAAAAACTTTGAACCAATTATTAGTTGCAAAACTAATGATTAGAAATCCAAAGCAAAATAAAGACATTTTTCTCAGGGTCTTCCCCAGCTGCCATAAGTATTAAACTCTTAAAAACTATGAGATAAGGTTAAGTGAGAGGTTTTGAAGAGTGTTCCCTTCAAAACAGCATCTCCAGAGGAATAAAATTGAGGGGTAAACAGACAGTTGCACAATCAGTGTAAACTCATCAAAACCCCCTCGTTCTTCCTGCCTTCCCAGGGATGATGAATTACTCTCTTGGTGCCTTGGCAGCACTGCTAACTCACCTCTCCAGCTCAGGTGAAAAGCAATGCAGCAAGTGGGTAGGGCATGAATTTTCAGTCAAATGACAGAGCTGGTCTGGGTGACCGTGCTGTCATATGTGGAAGTGCCTGGATGACTTACTGGATGACTCCTGGTGAGGCAGAAATGTGCAGTGGTTTTGGGAGAGGTGGGGAGAAGGACAATTGTCAAAGGAAGAAAGATACAGCCCTGTCAGCCCTTCAGTCAGAACTGCTTAGATGTGCCTGCTCGAGCCACTTAAAAAACAATCTCTTGCCTATAACTATTGTTCACACCTTGTGGTACTTAATGGATGCCTGATTTTAGCAGTTCCTTTAACGACAGCACACAAACCTACAAGGTTTAAAACAAGCCTAGAGAGTAGATTTATGAAAAACAAACCACACAAATATTCAGGATATTATTTGTGCAAATCAGAAGATATTGGGTCTGAGGAATCCCAGGTCAGGACAGGTTCAGGAATGCAACAACAGTGAACCTTCTTTCCACAAGCACCAACAAGGTAAAAGCTTTGGCAGCCTGCAGAAAAGAAACAGGACAACTCTACCTGTGATATGGGCTCTGTAGACTTCCTTCTTAACATAACATTAAGACATGAAAAAAAACCCTAAAAAATATCACATATGCAAGCAGTTCTAAGGCTCTGAGGAGCAAGACCGGCTGTCAGCTCTGCCCCGCACCACTTTAGTTTGAGTGAAACGATGTTATTTCCAGCTAAATGAAGTGTTTCCCTTTCTCAGTACCTGTTAATGTGCGCTTACAGTGGGATTGCTCTGCAAACCAAAGCACACCATAAAAGGGGAGGCTGTTTGAACACCAGCTAGCTCATTAACTTCTCTAACACAGACCCGCAGGCAAAAGTACAATTAATTAGGAATTTAAGTAATCTTTAAAACAATGATACTGCAAAAACATCAGGCGTACTGATTTAAATCTGCTGCGATGCTTTACAACACTTGAGACAGCAACAGGATACAGGAATTAGCCTAAAGAGATGCCAAAGGCCTTCAAATAGGTCTATCATAATTTCAGTACCTACTAATGGAGAGAAACCTGTCTCTCAGTGAAGTGCCACCTCCTGATATTTTCTCATGGAGAAACGGGGAAAATAGTAATAGGAACATACTCATACTTCTGTATGCACTGGAGTGACAGCAGCCCAGGATGGAGTAAACCCATTGAGGCTGCAGTTTCACACATTGATTTTCAAGCATTTAATATCTGATTCACTTTTTTTTTTTTAATTATTTTCCCATCGAGAAGCTAAAATTAATTGCCATTCAGGACAAACTGATCACCCAAAACAGTGTCCTCTACAGCCCCACCCGAGGCAGAAAAATCCTTCAGGGAGTCAAAGGCTGAAAAGACTTATTGATTTTCTGCTTCAGACTAAGCACACTCAGCGATAAAGAACACTGTATTAATGCAACCCTCAGTTGGATACAACACTGACCTTTCCTCAACAGCAAAATTACAGAGAAAGGTAAGACAACAATTTTCCTTCAGAACATCCTCTTAACATGTCCAAAGATGATGGCATTCTTTAACCCTCTCTAATCAGTTGAACTACTGCCTCTTCAAGAAAGCATGAGCAGAGGTTCTTGCTTGGTGAGAGGGAGAACTGTACTGATCCCATAACTAAGTGTGCAGCAGCAGCAGGACATAAGGTTTCTGCTTCAAATGCAGAGTTTGAAGCGGAAAAAAGTCAAAGAATGAGGGTAAAAAGGGGTTTGCAGGGAGAAAATTTCCCCTCCCCTTAATGGGTATTTTACTGAATGGGTATTTTAGCTCTATGAAAGAGACTTCGACCTCAATTCGTAAATCTGTCCACAGGGCATTTTACTTCTTTTTAAACATTTGAAATTTCAGCTTCAGCCACAAGGCAACAGTACCTGTGTGCATTCTCTGCACAGCTCAAGTAAGATACATAAACCCTAATTCTAGAAAAAAGTAATTCTTTAAACATACACAGAAATGTAAATCAAATCTGAAACATAACTTGTATTTCTTTAGGAAAAGCAACACAGTTCCACATTACAATTCTGGCAGCAGGGGAATCAGATTAAATTCTGTACAACTGCTTCTGCAGAAATGCCTATGCTGACATCCACAAGACAGGATGCAGGTCCTCTCCTGCTCCCCTTGGAACAGAAAGCTTTGTACACAGGGTTTGTTAGTGGTCCTAAAAATAAACCCCTCTGTATTAGAAATGCCCCACATCTTTTAGAAGTAATGGCAGCAGGAAATACAACAAGAAATACTCAGCCAAGTCTCAAAGGTTCCTTGTGACCAAAAGGACGATGCCCCTCCATGTTCTGGTGACACACTTAAAATTCTTCTGACAGGTCTGAGAGAGCTGCTTTTCCACACCTTTTGGTCAGCGTGTACAGGTATGTTTAGTGAGACTTGGAAGAAAAATCACATCAGAGTGGAAGCAGCTGCAACTAAATCCATCTAGAAAAAGGAACATGCCTGGGAATTTGTGTTCAAAGACACTGAAAAGGGAGAGAAAAGGCTGCCTGCTGTGGTGGGGGGAGTGAGCACCTGTGAGCACAACTGCAGGAACACTTCACAATGATGAGGTGCAGGAAACAAGGAAGAAACACACTGTGCAAGAATAAAGCTGGGAATGATAGCTGCACACCTTTAAAAGACATTCATTCTGCATTAAGAATCAAACTACTTTTGCATCTTTATTCTCAGAGCATTCTGAGCACAAAGCACTCTGCTGACAGCAGCTGTACCAGCTCAGCAGCAACACCGCGGTGACAGGACAGTTTGGCCTGGCCAGTGCTGAATGTATCAAATGCAAATAAGAAGCCGGCAGCCAGGTCTGCCAGAACATCACCTCAATAACTCTTCAATCTTAGAATGCACTCATCTGTTAGAATACCATTAAATACTTTCAAGAGCAAGGTATTTTCAGGGCAAAATAATTTTTACTCTAAAAGGTATGAAATTACTCATGCCTTACTGCACAATGTAAACTGTGCTGTCTTTGCTCTCTACTACAGTTCTTTTCCAGTATCAGAGATCTGGAGAAGTGTAGCTACTAACATGTTTGTTTAATGCATAAAGGTAAGAGATAATAGTTTGATTGTGACTAGCTAAAACCCAGGTCTCATAAACTGTCAAAGGATGATGAAACAAGTTATCAATGGCCACAGCAACACTTTAGCAGTTTACAATAACAAGCCAGTCTGGACTTTAAGAAGAGTCTCCTGGAAGAGATGGGAACGCCCTTTCAATTTTCAGGAAGGGCAAAAACCACAGTGAAATGCTGAAAAGCAAACTAGACACGGGCTCCTTCAGTGAGGTTGTCTCATTATAATGCAGGACTAAGCTTACAAAGAAAAGAACACAGATCAAACAAATAAACACAATGTGTTCCAGAGGGATTTCCAGGTAGGGTAAGAGCTTTCATGTAGGAGATCTCTAGCACAGTAACAGTATTTATTATGTTAAAAAAAAAAAAAAAGAAACAAGACAGGACAAAACAGAAGAATCCCCAATTTGTGTGAAGAGTGATGATGCATCACTATTAAAAAGTTAATTTTGTTTTCAAAACATAATTTAAGTTTGCTTTACTTTGCCAGTATAGGACTGAGAAATGTTCTGTACTTTGATCAGTTACATGGTCCATATCACAGAGGATAAATGCCAATTAATTTACATCAATACCGATATAACTAATTCATACAAAACATAGGGGGCATCCAGGAAATCAAATAATGGAGGAAAATGTCAATGATTCCACAGCAACTGCATTAATTAAAGAGCTATGAACAATTAAAATTCATAGTGATGAATTGTAGAAAAAAAAAATCAGAACTTCCTCCAAAGAAAAAGCCTCCACGTTTTTCCCAAAGGGTAGAAACAAGTCAGGCTCGGGGCAAGAGTCATAGTTTTCTTACAGAAGAGCACAAATGCTACTTCATTTTGCCAACCAACATTCATAACATTCCTTATAAAAGTTTTTCCACTAATCCCAAGCCCATTCCAAGATCCCAATC